ACGACATTATGATGGTTATACATCCAAAGGATGCGTGAATATTATTTTAAAAAAATAAAAACAAATGTAATACATGCCCGCATTGAGAACCTATTAATCAAATAGCAATACGTATGATCATAAATGCCCACTGCAGCCATTATTCACTGCTGACTTTTTAAAAAAAATAAATTGAAGTATATTTGTGCAGTCAAAATGCAAAAGTATGATATAAATTGATGTAGTTTTTCAAATATACAAACATCGGTTTTGACTTCGATAAAAACATTGGTTCACAAACCATATTGAACACAAGTATCAAGATTTTAAACTATGTAGCCTAATCCTTTATCATACTCAAATTCGAACTTTTTCAAGATATCGTGGATGTAAACATAGACTGTGAAATCGTCTTTTCCGTCATGAAACTGGCCGTCAAATTTTAATTCAGGAAGAGTTGCACAGATAACTGAAATTTATGTATATTATTCCTTATACCTGAAAGCGTTTTTAGCATTTATAAAGATACATAAGACAGTTATTATGGATGGATACTTCTAGAATATTAATAACTTTCAACGTTTCAAAGTGGATCTCACACCAACAGGAATATATGAAGCACGGTCTTAAAACCACAATGAAACGTTTTGTTTTGAATGTAATTTTTTAATCCTATTATTTAATGGAGTTTTATAATACTATCATAGCAGACGTATTTCACTAGATACATACATTTTTGAATGAAATTTTGAATACTTGCTCACTAACGTCTTTACTTGAAATTGCATGCGTTTAGACGTTATTGATGGTCGTTGCAGTACTTTTTCTGATACTGCTCGGCTTAGCTAACAAAATCACGTTTCTGAGAATAGGGTATGAGAGGTCATAAAATGGCCCACTGTCCCATTAAGAAATAGTCATGAAGAACATCGAATAAAAAGCCATTCCGCTTTCCATATAACGTGTATTGAAAACAAGTAAAGTAAAGCTAAAATGTTGTAATTAATAGAAGTTTAATTAATATTAATACAAGAATCCATTATAAAATTGATATTTTAAGAAGAAAAATCAATCCTTCACTTACCAGTTGTTTAGAGAATAAATAAATACAGACTAGAGAGTAATATCCTGCGCCTTTTCCTGTCCCATAGAAATTTCAGACGATACTAGAACAATCTTGTCTACGAGTTACTCGCTACACAAATTTTACATTTTGCCCAAACGGAAGAAATATTAACCTGTAGTACAAGACGTTTCCAGGTTTAATTTTCATACGCCCACATGGAATGTGGAGCGTATATTGCCGTCACCCATGTCCGTCGGTCCGTCCACAATTGCTCGTAAACACTCTACAAGTCACAATTCTTGCTGAAATCGTTTATTATCACCCAAGGATGAACTCTATTGAAAATCGATAAAATTCAAATATATTTAATATGAGTTATTGCCCTTGTCCATTAAACGCGTTCGATTTTTAGCTCGTAAACACTTTACAAGTCACAATTCTTTACGGATTTTGGAACACTTGCTGAACTGTTGATGAACCCTATCGAAAATCGATAAAATCGAAAAGTATTTGATATGAATTATTGCCCGTGTTCTTCAAAACGCGTTTGGTTTTTAGCTCGTAAATACTCTACAAGTCACAACGGATTTTGGCGAAACTTGCTGAAATTGTTTATTATCACCAAAGGATGAACCTTAATAAAAATCAATAAAATCGAAAAATATTTTATATGAATTATTGCCCTTGTTCTTGAAAACGCATTCAATATTTAGCTCTAGAAGGCACAATTCTTCACGGATTTTGATGAAACTTGGTGTGAATGTGGGTAATCGCCCAAGGATAAACCCTCTTAAAAATCAGAAGAATCGAAAAATATTTAGTATGAGTTTTTGCCCTTGTTCTTGAAAACGCTTTCAATTTTTAGCTCGTAAGTACGCTAGAAGGCACAATTCTTGACGAATTTTGACGAAACTTGGTGTTAGTGTTTATTATCAACCGTATCGAAAATCAGAAAAATCAAATATTTAGAAAGAATTAATGCTCATGTTATTGAGAACGTGAAAAAAATGAGCTTGTGAACATTCTAGAAGGCTCAATTCTTGACGAAACTTAGTGAAATTGTTTATTATCACTCATGGATGAACCCTATCGAAAATCAAAAAAATCGAAATATGTTTCATAGGAGTTATTGACCTCGTTCGTGAAAACGCTTTCAAATTTTAGCTCTTAAACAATACAAGTCGTGATTCTTGCCGAATTTTGACAAAACTTGGTTTTATTATTCAGTACTGCGCTGAAGATTGCATGTTTTCCTTCTAGAGTTTTCACGAGATAAAAATTGAACCCCTTTTCAAGAACAAGGGCAATAACTCATACTCAATATTATTTAGTATCGCCCTAAAGAGTTCAAAAGAAGTGTATGACTGAAGGTTGAATATTTCATACTGGTGATTGTAACTGTAGCCTACTGCTAAATATTTTTATTCAAAATCACAGGTGCCTGGTAAGCTATCTTTTTAAAGATAAAGTCATTGAAATATGTCGTGGAGAAGGTATGTCGTCCAATCCGTCAAGTAAACCTTTTTGAACACCAATTCATCGAAACTGTTTGTTTATCGTCTTAATGGAAAATGACTCCTATACAGCTGGAACTGAAATGTGCAAAGAAAATTCATTATGTCTGCTACCTTTGTACATTTGTCTTCAATTAAAAATTATTGTATTAATTGTACGAACATAGTAATTTTGTTGTTGAACATATTTTAGAGTCAATTACTGAGCTAATTATACAGTTAATCTCTCAGTTAAATGTACCGTCACTTGTTGAGTTAGGTTTACTGTCACATGTTGAGTAAGTTGTACAGCCAGTTACTTAGTTAGATGTACAGTTAGTTACTGAGTTAGTTGTACAGTCAGTTACTTAGTTATACGATCAATTACTCAGGTTTAGTCACAAATTTAGTAAGCTGTACAAACAGTTACTAAGTTAGATGTACAGTTAGTTACTGAGTTAGTTGTACAGTCAGTTACCTAGTTATACGATCAATTACTCAGGTTTAGTCACAAATTTAGTAAGTTGTACAGTCAGTTACTCTGTTATATGTACAGTTAGTTACTTAGTTATACGATCAATTACTCAGTTAGGTTGACAGTTTCAACAAAATCCGCCAAGAATTGAACCTCTAGAGTGGTTACAATCCAAAATTGAACGCGTTTTCAAGAACAAGGGCAATAACTCATACTAAATATTTCTTGATTCTTCTGTATTTCGATAGAGATCATCCTGTGGTGATAACAAACGTCCAAAATCTGTCAATAATTGCGCCTTCTAGAGTGCTTACGAGTGTTTCAAGTACAAGGGCAATAACTCGTACTAAATATTTTTCGATTTTTTTGGCAGAAAATCGTCCTCTGTAAAAAGAAATTGAAGACATAATGTGTGTTTATGCCAATAATGCAAATACAAATACATAATATTTTTTATAATAAAGATTTAAATTTGAAATATTTGTCGTCTGTGTCTAATCTGAATTTGAAATAAAAATAATCCTTTTTACAAATTACATGATTTAAACATATTTTATTGACAAAAAAAACATCAATAGGAATTGGAATTGAATTTAGGAATCGAAAACTTAGTTAAGCCCTTTCCAAAAAAGAATTACATACATTTATCAATTTAGATGGTCTGACAAAATATTTACAATGAAATTTAATAAGAAAAAGGTGCATAGAAGAGAAACAAAACGCAGAGGATAAATAAATTTCGCAGGGTGAGAAAAATGAATTAACGGTATATCATTTAAAAAGTAATATCCGTTTATCTTGGAAAACCACAAACAAGTTCAAAAACGTTTAGTATCTTTGATACATTTTAATATTAATCAGAAAAATTTGGATCACCCCAAAGAACTGTATCTAAGTCAATATTTAAACAAGGAGGCGTCTTCAATATCACAACCATATAAACAAGTCTGGTACATTTATTTTAAAAAGATCAGATTTTAAGCCACTGCAACCATGTCTTATTCTTGTAAGTAAAATGTTATTGCGTCTCTCACCAGCCCAAAAGTAACTAGGTGCAACCGTTGAATTTAATGATCGTTGTTTTAGCGTATATTTGAAAGAATTAAGATTAGTAGAAGCGCGTGTAACAGCATCTAATGAACTCAGAACTGGAAAAAATAAGTTAAGATATAAATCAGTACGAGGATTTCGTCGATCATGGTGTTGATAAATGAAACATCAAAGAAAGGTTTATCAACTGTACCCGTTGGTGCTTTTCCAATAATGTCTTCCATTGCTGGGCTGAGGCGGGCAAATTTGTTGCCTTTCGGTGTTAATTCAATGCTTGAAGAGCTGGATAATCTTGAGTATTTTCCGTGTTCGTTTCGTCTAGACGATGTACAGGTAGCTGATTGACTTTGTATCGACAGTAGTGGTTACTGCTTATTCACATCACTCGACTCGGCGGCCATTCGAATGTGACACGGAGGACCTCAATTTTAATCTCATATGATTTTAGTCTTTATAAATTTTGAAACCGCACATTAAAAGTTATAACTATAGCCTCTTTCCGAAAGTGATTTACCTCCCCTTTCCGCTAGGTTTGATTTATCGCTATTTAACTTACGGCTAGTACTCGCCCCTCGTCAGCATATCAATATGGCGACTTCTAACAAACGGCACGACGAAATGACAGTTCCTGAAGATTTATGTCCGAAAGCGGGGTTTACCCGTCTCAGGAAATAAGCCAGACCTTCTCGCACGAGTTAAGGGTGCCGAACAGATGGAACTGGTGAAAGTGGCAACAGAAACATTGACGTCTGAATGTGAAAAACTACCGAACACCGCGGTGGGCGAAAAACTCCCTATGAACTTTACAACTACTTGGTACTCAGCAAACACAGAACTCAGGATTATTGAAGGCGAGAGTTTTTTTACGAAGACAGACATATCCACGACCTGGCTTATCATCAGATTGACCATTCAAAAGTTACAGGACGAGTTCACCATGCAGACTGTAACTGTACGGCAGGGCATGTAAGTTTTTTTATTGAGATCGCTTATTTGATCGGGCATGGTAGCTCAGACGGTAGAGCAGTTGGACGGTATCCCTATGTTGCAAGTTCGAACCTCGTCTGTGTCAATTTTTTTTTTTTTTTTTTTTGGCCAGGCAATTTACACAGTGTAGGACTCTTTGTTTAATTGCTCCTGAAGATGATTCAAAACTAATAAGACTAATGAACTTATTTTTTTTTTTTCAGAACTGGGGCTTCATGCAACCACATTGCGGTAATGTTGTATGCACTTGTTGATATTACAAGTAAGAAAGACTCTGGTGAACTGTCTTCTACATCCCAGGCATGCAAGTGGAACAGACCCAGGAAGAGACGACTTTCTCCTAAAAAAGCGGAAAATATTAAGTTCCAGAGGTTTGAATGGAAAAAGACTAAACGAATACCGGGAAGTTTACGTGTCGCCCGGAAACAGGCTGCACCTGCACCAATGATTGGCATAACCAAACCTAGGAACAGATTAACAGCAGAGTATCCTCTGGCAGGTTTTTTATTGAATTTCCCTAAAGCCCAGGAGGATAAGGAAAATATACAGCTGCCTGAACTGCACAGCATTAACTTCATGTATATTGATACCGTTAATTTACAAAGCAATGAGTGTTGCCAGCAGTTTGAGAAATATTTTAGTTCCCTGTCAGTTTCAGATGAGGAAGCAAAACAAGTGGAAATTTCTACCATAGGACAGTCATCAAATTCAGCTTGGTCAGATTGTAGAACTGGTCGCCTTACATCATCTAATTTTGGACTAATTGTTAAACGGAAACCGGACACGCGCCCTGATAATCTCTTGAAAGTGCTACTGAACTATACACCAAAATGTCAGACAAGTCGAAGTCTTATGAGTACCATGAAAAATTCATTTTCAATTTTTCCGGCCTTCCACATTTAACTTTGATGTTGTATTGTTTTATTTTTACCTCTTCAATACTTTCAAAGAGCACTCTGAAGACACCTTTAGTTGGTAACCCAGTGTAAAATGCGAAGTCCTCATCTGTCTCCATGTCTTCCACAGTTAAACAAGGCCGGTTCACCTGGATGCCAAACTCATCTGTCTCTGGATTCCGAGTTTGAGTTTCTCCAGTTGTAAGAATAGCGCCTGTCTGTTCAGTCTGAACTGAGATACCAGTTGGGGCAGGTTTTGTCTGACACTTTGAATGCCATTGTCTGCTGAGACGTGAACTACCATACTACCGGTACAAAGTTTTAGTTTATATACATTGTGGAATACCAACAGTGCTAAGAATCACAGCTGTCAATGTAATCTATATGCACAGTTAGACGTTTGGCAACACATTTCAATAAGTACACTTGTCATCAATGTACATTTCAAAGTTATATGACATTATAGCAATGTGTGATAAAATGACAGGGGAAATTCAGTTGATAATGGTCTTAGCATGGTTAATTCCTGTTGTTATGATCTCAAAGAAACACATACCTGTCCAACATAGTCGTGGAGATGTACAGAGATGTGAATTTGTAGCATGTCTCCGGAGCAAAAGTTTATTGGTTCGCTGTGTTCATCATCAAAGTTAGGATCTGCATTTTCCTTATCTTCAGTAGTACTGAAACCCTCTTCAACAGCATCACTAAGCTTCAAATGAAGTAAAACCATAAAGATAGAACTTAAGCTGATTCACTGGGTGGTATTAATACCAAATTGAAACCATTTATTTGTAATAAATAGTAAGATTATGCAACCAATATATATTACTAGGTGGTCCAGAATTTCCCAAGACCCTTGTTAGTTTATTTAGAAACAGCCAGGAGCCTTTCAGCTTGATATAATTATGGAACAACATTAATTATAATATCAAAAAAATACGAATTAAGAGTTATTAAGAATTTTGGACTTATATTAACTTGTATAGAAATCTGCAGTGTTCGTCTTACCTGGCTCAACGCATAAACTTTGTGAGGAAATATTTTGGGCACTGGGTTTTCCAGAGTTGGTCCCGACCCTTCAAGAAAATGTTCCGGAACAAATCCTGGAGAAAGCATTTGGTTACCAATTCCGTCTGCTAACACGCAATATCCATATCCGTCGGACTTGGTGATTTACAGGGAATCGATGGAGGCTAAAACGGTGCCCATTGACAATCTTCTCGGTCGTATTATGGCAATCCACTAATAGCTAATTATTGATTTTGTTTGTAGGCTAAAAGATACTGGTACAAATATAAGGTAATATTCTCTTTATTAAAGGGAATATGCGCCATTTTTTTTTACCAATCGTACCTGAGCCTCAGAAACGGCAATTTTTAAAAGCGTTTACAGCTCACTGTCTAAATTTGAGCCTTCAAATCCATGTGTGTCCAGAATTATCTAAGTTTGAAAGTAAAGACGTCTCTATCATATATAGAAAAGACATAATAAAGGAATAGTGAGTGAAACTCCAAGTTTGAGTTATTTTTGAAGGAATTATGCGATTTTGTACAATTCTAGTACATCTGAACACTATTTGCATTTATTCAAGACACAAATCAACCCCCCGAAAATGGCACATTGACCCCTTTGATTTATCAGACACGGGCTATATATGTCATACATTTCGTAATATAAATACTGGTATAAATATACCTATATTTACTCCTGTAAATCTAATTGGTCAATAATACAACAAACAAGACAGAAGTACAATTTCATTTTAGAACTAGGAAAAGGGGGAGTTTTAAGTGGACTTTCTTACAGATCTCTGAGTTAAAGATGATTGTTAGAAATTCTTCTTGAATCAAGGAACCTTAAGGGATTGTTAAGAGGTTTTCTAATAAGAATTTGTGTACCTATGTTACCTTGTACCGAAAGGGAAGTAACTCTGAAAAATTCCCCCAGCCCACCTGGTTTCTGCTATGTATTTGTTACCAAATATTCTTCTCAGGCCATCTAATCCGTTTGCTCCAGCGAACTTATTCGGCAGGTTGAAGATATCAGTTTCGACATGGTCGTCGGTGCAAAGGCAGTTGAATGCAATCAAACATAGACAGATTCCTTACTCAGTAGGGCCGGTAGGGACCACAAACCATTCTTTCCCTATGTAAAATGACCATAAAAATTTGAAATTGGAAGGGCTATCCTGTGGAAATGAATTGAGAGAAAATTACGTCTTAAAGAAATATCGCCGAAAAAAAGTTATAGTTGTTTTATTTACTTATTATAATACAATATATATACATAAACTCCTTTGAAGACTTCTCTAACATGTTCTCGGTGAAGACCATTGTGTGCTGAAGGCTTCATTGAAAGTTTTTAGAGTTCTTGAATTAATGTTCTATGACTGATGTTGACTGAAGTTCTTTTAGGCCTTCATTGTGTAGCCTGTCGGCTCAATCTGTAAATTATTAAACATTGGCTTTTTAAAATGACGCCATAGCATTACTATAAGCTTAGAAACAGCCAGAACACATCCTATAGCCAGTAGCACAACGGTAAAAATTGAGTTTGTTTTGGTACTATCATAATTTTTGGAGATGCTTCCACCAAGAGCAACCATTACGACCAAATATGGAGTGACAGTGTACCTAGAATATTTGTCCAATAATATCAAATCAGTACCAGCGAATATGATGATTTCTGCTGTTAAAATTCCAAGAGCAACTGTACCGGCTGTTTCAATTTCTACGCCAGGATCAGCTACATAAACCATTACCATGATCACGTTTAACAAAGTAGCAATAGTTGTCCATGTGGCATAAATACCAAACGCATTATGAACAATTACTCGGTGACACCAAATTTCCAAATTTCGTCCTTGTTTGGCCAATTTTGGAGAGTGTTCAGCAAAGCTTCTGTAGCTGAAGAACAGACAAATGTACAAAGTGAACGCAATCAGGAACAACAAAACGAACGCTGCTATCAGGCTTTCTCTATCAAAGGAGAGTGTCCAGCCTATATTTAAACACAGATTTGTAAAATATGTCACAAAAAGCGGCATTGTCAGTATTTTTGGATTGGTGTAAGATGGTCCTTCATCTGTTTTCTTGAAGACGGTGTAGAAGGAGAAGACTATGAACAGTGATTGCCAAAGGTAGATAACTCCCCAAATACTAAATGTCCAACCAGCAGGAGTTATTCCGGTTTCATACTTGGCTGATATGGTTCCCGTGCTATTGAGGTACAAAGCTGAAAAAGAAACAATTTAGCACTTTATTTTACATGGTCAGAAATAGGCCCAATACACAAGGGCATGGTCCTGTCTAACATTCAGCCCATAGGGACAATATAATGAATGAATGAAAAAAAATATACACAATACCTGGATGGACAACCTGTTTAACAAAGTACACGTAAGCTTATATCTATATGAGCAACATGGTCTGATTGGAATTGGCAACCATCTTATAATGATCAATAACAAGATAGTTTACGAAGCAAAATGCCTCCTTGTGACGGATACGATGGTATACACTATCCTCTGTTACGGGTGTAAATACAAAACTAAAAGCAAATGTATAAGCAAAAGTGTTATAGGCACATAAATATTGTGAGGAACTTACGTGGAGCTCCTTGACCACTGAGGCCGTTGAAAGTAAATGTTATCACCATCATCACCACTACACCTATCATTAACCCAAGAAGGATCTTGTCGTGACCCGCCATTTTGTTTTCTGAAAAAGAAAGAGTAGACCTAAGTTAGAAATTTTTGATTACCTTTTTTATTGTTCACCATCCTTAAACAAAAAAAGTTCGTCAAATAATAGCGGCTTCTTTTTGTATGGTGCATTGGTGGCTCTGTTCGTTCATAACGTCCACGCATCCTTCGAAATCTGTAAAAGCAAACTAAGCCTACCAGGCTGGTCGTCACTCTCATGGAAAATTTCGTCCATATTGTTGTTGCTATTTCGTCCATTTTGCAGTCTATAATACAACAACGGCGTTTCGTCGTCTTGCTGTGTCTGTTCGGGTGTTTTGAGACGTTCAATAGAAGCGGCTAGACAGAAAGCATGCTTCATCTTTTACAATGTAGTATGACGTTACAAAAAGAATATGACGTTACCTACGTCATGTAAATGTCATAGAGACGTCAGAAGATGACGTATGTAAATAAAACGTTTGGAGTATCGTACTTTATTTAAATTGGTAGGCCTACTTGTGTTTGCTTATAACTTCAGTGCGAAGCTTTAGATATAATGGGGAACCAGTTTACGTACTTTAATCAGTGTAATTCGGTAAAAATATTTAGGTGGCCTAAATATAATGTACGAAGATACACAGTTTACATTTTACAGTAGGCCTAGGCCTAAACATCTTAAAAATTTAGAGAATTAACTAAAATTAAAAGCGTTGGTCTTAAAACGCAGACAATTTTACACAATTCTCACAAACTATTTTGGCCAAAGTCTAATAAATTATACTTTGAGTAAGAAAAACTTAGCTAAACCGCAGTTTTATAAAAAAAAAAATCAATCTAATGAACTTTATACGTAGGCCTACTTGATAGATGGTTTTCATTTTCCGCTGGGCCAGTGAAAAGGACCGATTGGATTTTCCAAGGGGAAAGGTCCTAACACTTTCTAGGCTTTCAGATCCTATACGTCATTAATGCTAAATTTGCAGAAGCTGCCATTGCTTGTGGGGTACCATGCAATTTCAAGTGAGCCGAAAAATTAATTGAGAACAAGATAGGCTACAGTATTCAGATAAGAATAACAAGTTTCTCAACTAATAAATCAATAACTGTTTATGTGTTTATCTCTAGTACACTTACTACCGTTGTATAAGTCAATGATAACCGACTAATAACAAAGCTTTTGACCTATAGACACTGGTCACCTACCACCCATGTGTAGCTTTGACTACTTTACTTAGTAATGAGCTTTATATCAATCCAATGAACTATTTTTTCTGATTCAGATTAAGCAGGCTACCACATGCAGTGCGCAATGGAGGGAATATTGCCATAAAATGGCGAAGAAAGAACAAAGCAGTCTTGATTTCCTCTTCAACTCCAAATTAGGCCTAATTCAGTTGTTCGCTTCCATGCTTAATAGCATTTTCAATTTATAATTAAAGATTGTTTTCCCTATAAAACAACGCATCAATACAGCAAAAATCAATGACCTTGTGCCGGACTAAGAAATCCCTTTAAGTAGTTGTTTACTAGGTTCCGGTGAGTGAACTTGCCATCTACTGTAACGTATGACTAATTAATAATATCAAAATCCCATATCATGAAAACATACCACAATATACATGTCACCATCAATCCTATTAATATTAGTCCTGCATCCAGTTTCGTATACGTTTTTAACTAAAGCATATTCATATATGTGGATTGCTCCTTTTTCTCACGTAATTCATCAAAATTCTTGTTTTACTAATAATTCTAATTTCACAGGGAGATAACCAACAAAAACCCACAGAAATGGAGATTCCACGAATAATAATTTTACAGTAATCCTAAGTAAATCCATTAAAAACATCGCCAAATTGTTGGCAAGTATTTTATTCCATGGCACGCAGTAGTCATCTTTCTAACGTTATAAAATTGATGCCAAGGCCAGCCCTGAATTTTTCTATTCAAACTCACTGCTTTCCGAAAATAAAAGATTATAAGAACACTCAAAAAAACTTGCAAAAATTATATTGAACGGCGCTTGCATTACTTTGTTCAGTTCTTGAAAGTTTCCCGTTATTGGCAATGAAAAGCCTAAAGATCTTCTGCTATATGAAAATAAAAAAACAACCTTACAATGAGCTTTAAGAAAACAGAGTATATCAAAACTACTTAATATATACTACAAGTATCTATCTGCAACATTGTCTTGTATAGAATATAAACTGTACATACCTTTATCAATGGACTTCACGAGCTTCTCCGTATCAAATATCACGTTTATCTAATGAATAATTTAAAATCGATACTATTATAGTCACACAGATGTTGTATAACAAATACTCATAAAAATTACCAAATTTCATTGGCTACATTGGCTAGCTAATCTACGTTAGATTATTCCACTTTCACGCACTCACTTGAACATGTTTGGGCTAGTTTGATTACCATTCATAAATGAAGCTAATCGTACGTTTATCGTTTATTATAATGAGATTCATACCAACTGTTATAAACTTAACAAGCTCGGCCGGTCATAGTCCGAAACCATGACGTATCCAGTAACAACCGGAGATGTTTTGACAGTCATTGACCGCATATAAGAATGTAAAATCACACTTTATATATTTCATGGGAACTTTTCTGTTCTCACTATGGGGTTCCAGTCCCCTTCACTACAGTGCTTTTTTTTCAAAAATCCCAAAGGATCGTGTTCTTGAATTCTGACCTTACTCCAGACAAGAGAAAATTTCCAAGCTAACAACATTCAGAAAGTTTTGGACTAACCCTTTCATAAACGTTTTATAATGAAAACTTATCAAAATGTGTTGTAAATAAAAAGTCTTAATGACCTGATAACAAATGTCTCATTCTTATATAACAAGTGTCCGAATTGTTGAACTTTCTTTGTTTCAAGGGGCAGTCAGAATTTTTAAGAAGGTTGAAAAAGTTAGTTGCTCAATTAAATGAAAACTACAGACCAATATCTAGGGACGAGGTTTCCAACCTTTTCCATGTAGCGACCCATTCCAGAAACCGCCATCAGATCGCGGCCCTTCAAAATAATAACGATATTTCACGCTTTCCTTAATTTGATTATTATCATTTATATTCATTATAGCAAATTTTGATCAATGTTATGGTTAGCCCCGTCGCTAGAAGTGAATGGGTGCTGGGGCCCGAATTGTAAGTCAAGGTAGGGAGGGCATAGTTCTGCACCGCCCAGAGTCAAAGGCGCAGTAGGAGGTGCGAGAGGGAATCTGGGGGGTTATCACCCAAGAAATTTTTGATAAACTCAAAGCCAGGAAGTGTCAAATATTCCATCAATATCTTTGTGGTTTTTGAGATTGAGAACTGCCATAATTCACCTTCGAAAATTATCTTCTGGGGTTAGGATCCCGCCCAGATAATGCATTTTCTGTGATTCCAAACGCATTTGATATGCAATTTCAAATTATGATGTAATTTAGCTAAAACATGAGGACCAAAGGTGCGTCTTCGAATTTTTTAAGAATAATAAGCCCGTAAGCGCCATTTCTAGCGATCTGAGACAAGGGAGGCAGGTCCTCCCCCTAAGAGTTTTTAAGAATTTTCACAAACTATATAAATTTTCAAAAAGTTTCAGACCATTTTGCGACCCCAAGAAAAGTACTTCGTGACCAAAGTTGGCGTTGCGACCCAGAGGTTTGGAACCCAGGGTCTAGGGAAACATGTCCCGGTTTACTTTTTCTGAAAGTTTAAATTAAAAGTATCTTGCTCTTTCTGTAACAAAAAAACTATTTAAAAGGTTTACGTAAACATTTTAAATTCGTTATGTCTATGATTGGTGTCATTTACGGATTCGGGCATAGTAAATTCATAATATTGTGGAGAAATATAACTACTTATTCTGAAGATTTAAGCTTGAGGAAAAAATATTCAAGAACTGCCTTATGACCCATGCTTCAAAGCCATCACCTCAGTATAAGTTTATCTTTATTGTCAACATAATCTTAAGAAATATTACCACAAATACTTATCTATTCTCGGATACCGATAATAGTTACATAGCGAAAATTTTTCATTTCTCGCCATGGCAAAAGCACAAGCTGTGAACCATTTTATATCGTGTCTTAATTTTTTTTTCATGGGTTGGGGCACCCCAAAGCCGTGGGTACCTGTGGACTTGGTTCAACCAGTTCCTATAGATGGTAGTTCAGTTAATGGATGTGTAACCAGATAATACACGAAAACAGATAATACACAAAAACAGATAGTAGGCCTACACGAAAACAGATAATACACCAAAACAGATAGTAGGCCTACACTAAAACTGATAATAGGCCTACACGAAAACAGATAATACACCAAAACAGATATTACACCATATACAGAGTGTGGTTTGAAGCATTTTCGATTTCTTAAAAATGTATTTTGAATTATGTCATTGGTATTTTCACGAACTAGTGTTTCGTGTGGCTTTTTCAACAAATTCAATCTGAACAATGCATATACCGATTTATCGAGCAGTCGCACGAATCACGATTGTATAATAAACAAGACATAAAGAAGTTTAGGTTTATTGCAGAAAAGCAACCCTGTACAATAGGTACAAAGATGGAAAGAGAATGAACGTGTTCAAGCACGAGATAAAATGGCGTCAACCGGTAAGGGGTGGTCACTCCATGTCAATATTGATTCAGACCACAAAGATAGACGAAATATAAGTCCGAATCACTATCAAAGGATTCAATACATACGTTCACATAGTGGAAGCATACCCAACCACTTGAGAGTAAGTGTTTATCAAAAATGCATTGGTTTAGTTTGCTCATTTCATCAGTTCATATTTGCCAAATAATTCAAATCTTTTAAAATACCCACAGCGGCGACAGATACTTGCGAGGTCAAAAAACCACATCCTAAAGAGAATATTCATCAAAAGGACGAAACAGACCAAGAAAGTATCAGCTAACAGAATGCAATTGAAATTCTGTACAAAAAAAATAAAATAGTACCAGTTACTTCCCTTGAAATATGAAATCACTGCAATAATGTTTATTCTACCAAACTATCTATTTAAAAACCACTTGCTGAAATTTATCAACAAATGAATTAAAAACGATTCTAATCACAGTGCGAATTTATTTTATTAACTCTTTGCTTCAAATAAATAAATATACATAATCGGTATATTATGAGAAAATAAAAAAAATATATACAAAACATGTGGAAGCATACAAATACAAAAATGACAAATATAACAGAACAATGTTGGAAAATGATGTTTGAAATTGCATTTTCTTTCAGATTTTGTAAGATGAGATTTTCATGCGGAAGGATAATTCTAAAAAATAGTCGTTTTGTGTGCAGTGCCAGTTAAGCAGATGTTGATAAAAAGTAGTGATTTTCATGTTCATGATATATTGAAATTTTGTCCAGAAATTAGGTCTAAATCCTAATGAATAAATATACGTCTATAAAAATTTACAGTACAGGCCTCATCAATCCCGATAATTGCAACGATTCATCAAAAATCTAGATGCAATTTAGAATAATACAGGGCAGAACAATCCGACTGGAATAAAAATGTGCGATTGCAGCCAACTTTTCTAACTTATGAAAGGCCCCGAGTTCTTAATAATATTGAACTTATCATGATTACACAGTCTTTGAAGGTAATATTGGTATATATATTAACACAAAAAGATCCATACTTCAAATTTGTGAAAACATCCGTACGGCTGCTGTCTGTGACACCTGTTCTATGATAGTAAATTATGCCATCCTATAAATTATTATGAAGTTAACATAAAATAATTGTCAGCATTTATTTGTCAATGGTTGATTCAACAACGTAGTCTCTGTACATAGGGTATTTGCAGTGACGGTACAAGGTCACAATAATTTTGACAACAGCTATAGCTCCAGCCAGTCCAAGGATCACTGCACTGAATATAGAGTTGGTCTTCTCTGGATTCCAATGGTTGTCAATGCTACCCGAAACAGCCCAACAGATGACTAGGTAAGGCATAATAGTGTATCTCGAATATCTGTCGAAGAAGAAAATATCGGTGACGAAGTAAAGGAGAGTACCACCAGTCAGGACACCCAATGCAACTGTACCGGCTGTTTCCAACTCCAAGGGATCTTCTGGGACATAAACCATTACATGTACCATATTTATTAAGGTAGCTACTGATGTCCAACCAAAATAAATCCCCAAGCCGTTATGGACTAAGATGCGATGTAACCAAATATCTACTCTTCTCCCTTCTTTGATTAATATCCCTCCGTACATTGCCAAGGGTTTGTAAGAAGTGAACATCGCAGCAAACACTGTGAACACGATGCTGAAGAGCGATACAAATGCTCCGATGAAAATAAGCCGGTCGAAGAAAAACACCCAGGCTATCATTGCCACCGAGCTTAAAATAAACCAGAAGTAGAAGGCGGGTGTGAGTAATACTGGGTTGGCATATACTGGTCCGTTACCAGTTCTCCTACAGATGTTTATGAAGGCATACAACAGCCAAAGGGGTTGCCAGAGGAATATGACACTCCAGATACTGAAAGTCCAACTCGATGGAGATATTCCTGTTGGATACATGTCAGATGTAGCACCAACTTGTCTTTCAAATATTGCTGAAATAGAAAAAGGAACAACTATATTTAAATGTAATATATCCTACGGTGTTGAAAGGATTGTAGAGAGGTTTTAATGTGTATAGTGGACACTATTAGCATAGATTTTCAATCAGACATCTGCGGTTCCTGCAATTCCTCTTAAACTATGCCTTCTTGAAATGGAATGAAAGGAGTTTACAGCCTACTTTTCTACACCATGCCTGTATGAAGTCACTATCGCAAAGGTCCTTCAGCAGCTCGATAAAAACGCTTACTTTTAGAGGAATTGCAAGAGCCACAAACGTCTGTTTACCAGATACACATTTAAAAAAAACTCTTAACGATGTATTTAAGGCTTAACGAAAGGGCTACGGCTCCTTTTTTGAAAAAAAAATCAATATCTGAAGGTCCAATGAGGTTGTTTCTGACCTAGAATATTTACTTCTGACCACTATCGGTTGTGGTGCTAAAACAACGTGATAGTGAGGTATTTCTGGAAAGGAGGGGGAATGCCTATTTGCCTGTACGAAGTACCTGTATATTGACAAAATATATATATACTTACGGGTATCCAGAGCGTTAACACCGTAAACTGCTAACGTTACAGCAAACATTACAGCTGCCACTATCATCAGAGCTAATACTAACTTATTCTGTTCACCCATTTTGGATTCTGAAAGATCATTAACAAAAAGATGTCCAACACCAGCTGATAAACAAAATCCTGAAGATCATGTCATACCTATCTGAACCTAAAACTTGGTATCTGTCATTTGAATTGCCAGTCTGACGAAACAAAAACTTATTTAGGCCAATGTTTCTGTCGCCATTGTTTGCTGATTTTGGATGGTCGATCCAAATAGTTCTTACCTTAAACCGGTTACCCTATAATTCCCTTGCCGACTGAGATTCTTGTACTACTACCAAATATTAGCTTTTGACATATACAATGTACCACAAATGTATAGGTCTAAATAACACTATAACATTCCGACTGTCGTCTGCTCCATTCAAACCCTATCTCGATCACGTTTCTATACACGTTTCAATACCTCTCCATAACTCTCTTTGAATTCACTTGGTATGTTTCTTTTTATTCTAATTTGGTGTCCTGGCGAACTGTTTATAACGTTATTGACCTATTAAACCACTATGTATATATTATATAGGTAATGAGTGAAATAGGAATTCCAAAGACTAAGAAACCAGGACTATTCAGTTATGTAACTGTTTGATTATCAAGGCGTAATAATCCGATGCGCTGATCGGTAGGAACAGATATTGCACGAAAGTAAAAAAAGTGTTCATTCTTACTAAGTTGTCTTTTCAAGCAAAGTACGTCCCTTATCTTTACATTGAGATAAACTACAGCAAAATTAAATCAGGTAGACGCTAAGAAATATATACCACGGTTCATACGAGTTAACATATTTAAACAAACGAATCCAATGGGTTGGTTGTAGTCCACCTACTTTCCTCTAAGATTCTATTTGGCTTTCATGTCAAGTTATCCAAGTATGCTACAACAACAAATTGCCGATAATAGAACATGGTTTTCCTCGAACACACATTTCAAGTAATTTATTTCTTAGAATCATCAAAGAAAAACTGTAATATATTTCAATGCCAAATAATAGACATCTGCTGGTGGCTGTCCATATAAAAGCATCATAGAGGACATGGCGAGGTTTTTTTTGATAAAGCATTGTTTCTTACCTAAAAGGGTTCGCTTCTGTGGTGGTGTAAAAATCAATTTTTCGTGGAATTTTGATAAATGCTTGTCATTTTGTTTAAAACCTGTTATGTATTGTGTAAATTATTGCTTCTCAAACTTTTTCAAAAAAAGTGCATTGATTGTCAACTGTGGTTAAATTATTATTGTCTTCCATGAAAAGGGGCTTGATTGACAGAATAATGGTGGTATACATAATGGTCTTTGTTTCGGACATACAAACTAAGTGGTAGATCTGTTAATGAATTACAGTAATTTTGATAATTAAAATAATTGCTAAACATGAATATGTAAGGCTACTGTTGATTTTCTGCATAATACTGTCATAATGAATTCGGTCCTAAATATCAGCCACGAGTTTGATTGTATGTTGACCATATATTAATGAATATCATTAGTGAAAGAATTCTTATTTACTTAGGTATCGGGGTCGTAATAAATGCTCAGCATAATCCATGTCCTTTCCCAAATAAGAATTCGATATCACATTCGTCTGTAACGTAGTTTTAGTCAGGGCGAAAAACCTTATGCCTCATTCATTTACAATAAAGGAATAACTTCTTGAAACGGACAATTATGTGAAATTTTAATTTTGCACCTGAAATGTTTAATACAAAACATCAACGTCAAAAATTGCTTTGAAATAATTCCATTTTCTACAGGACTAAAAACAGTACTAGTTTGTTTTTTAACATTTATTACACAATATAACTTAATACGTAAATGAAAATAAATTGTAAACAATTGAAACCTTAAAAGATACATGCTCTCATTTGATATACACATTCTTCAAATCTAAAATGTCATTTTTGTTTTTAAATATGGCGTAAACGTGTCAGTGCCCTGATGGTGCTTATGGCATATATGATGCGCAAGATTTTCATGAATGTGTATATCATAAAGAAAAGACGTAATATCTTCTAAACAGATCTGGACTGAAAAATGTGACACAATAATATTGGAATTGGCTTTGGTAATGATCAATTTAAAAAATAAAAATGTATACGTCATGTTGATTACCCCATTGCTCACTTCGACCTATGACACTCATAATACTTTAACTTATTTTAATAATTTGTAACTCTTACTCGTGGTCGGTTCGATTTTCTCAGCACCGACACCACTCTGACCCCAGCCTGCTAGTCGAGCTACTTTTAGAACAGCAGCTAACAGAGAGACACCAAGAATTACCGCAGTGAATACCGAGTTTGGGTTTTGGGGGTCCCAGTTTTTAGCAATGATGCCGATTAATGCTACAGGTACCACAAAATAAGGCGTAAAAACGTATCTTGAATAACGATTCACAATGGATAGATCGGTACCCACGAAAACCGTAAATTCCACCACTAAAATGCCCAATCCGATGGTCGAAGCTATCTCTGGACTAACAATAGCTTGATCAGAATACGACAGAGCCGTACCAAGGTTGATCAAAGAAGCTATGGATGTCCATGTAGCGTAGATCTGAATTCCATTCTGTACAATAAAAATGACTGCCCAAATTTCACCCTTTCGACCAGTTTCTATCAGTTGACTGCGACACTTGTCCAGTGAGCTGTACGAGATGGCAATGCAAATATACAGAGAGATGGCGATCAGGAACAGAAAGACTGCTGACAGCTTGAGGTACAGACGATCCCACAGGAACAACCATGTGATGTTGAAAATGTTATTTAGGATATAAAATATATAGAAACTGGCAGGTAAAATGACGGGACTGGTATATACAGGACCTTCTGGTCCTTGACGACACAGATTGATTAAGCTATACACGATT